AAAAAATGGCCCCCCCCCCCCCCCCCCACACACACACAGATTGTTACACAGAAATTAATGAATCAGTTAATTGGTTAATTAATTAATTAATTAATTTCTCTGTAATGGCCTGTGATGGTCTCTAGTGACTCCGTACATCATGATACAGACCGTGGTAGACGGGTTCCAGCAAAGAAGTTTCATCGTGTTTCATATTTTAATTCCACAGGGATTGCGCTAACAGCTTTTTTTAGAAAGATATTACGCGAGAATCGCCAATGAACTAGTATTTATTATGAACTGTAATATCCGCTAATAGTTATTAGTTGCCATTTGAATTCAAAATGAGTACATTTTTTACTTAGATTTTCGATATTTGATTTTGTCTATTTCAAAATTCATTTTAGTTGAAGATCTTCGAAAGAAAAATCCCTTGTTTATGATCAATTTATGGATAATATATCATCAACAGCAATCGATGAAACACCATTGACGCGTTCAATAAAATTTTGGATAATATTGATTCTTCAAACACCATCAATTTCCTGTTCAATTTTTGTCTTATATCATATGCTGTCAACAAGATCATATCGTCAATTATTAGCTGATCATGTCGTTGTCGTCATGCTTATTTATAATCTACTGAGTGTTACAGTTGATCTCTCGATTACACTGAATTATTTACGAGAAGGTATCGTCTACCCAGTATAATCAATATTTTGCTACTTTTGGATGTATTGTGATTATGCATTGTATGCAAATGGAATGCTTCGCATGACATGAGCATCTATTGAACGTCTCATGTACTTGTTTTTTCTTCACAATTCTTTCGTTTAGGACACCAACGATTCTATGGTCACTATATTCCGATTCTCGTTTGTTTGATTTATTCGTTGATTTTCTATCTTTACACCATATTTTTTTATCCATGTGAACAGGTGTTTGATTATCAACAAGCTCTTTGTAGGTCACCGTGTTTTAAACGTACAACATAGCATTATCAATTCGAGTTATTCAACGTAAACGTCGCATACAGGGACAAGTTTTTTCTTGGTGAAAACAACATCGAATCGTTGTACAATTACTTTCAATTGCTTGTCTATATATAATTATGAATGGCCCACCGTTGATTGTCATTGGTATTCAGGTTTTGTATTCGAAAACATTTGCCGCAGTAGAACGTTACTTATATTTATTTGATTTACATTATTTTTATCTCCTTTGCATGTCTTGGATCCTTTGGTGATGTGCGCACTAGAATTGACTTTCTTTTACGAAAAATACATTGTCATTGTTTAATTAGATCATCACGTGTTGATATCAATCATGGCCAAACTGGTGGAACTATTGAAATGGGAATGACTAATATGCCACCTGTAAATATTCAATAGTATCATTTTATTGTTACGATTATAAAAACGATGTGAATAATTCTATCTATTTAATTTTTTTTAAATAAATAATCTCTTTTCAGCGGTGTCCAAGAAATTGTGAAAATGGAATTCCTCAGGGAAACCAGAATTGACCATCATTTCCTTCATAATTCCCCCCCAATTCATGATAGTCAACACAGTAGTTTCTCTAAAATACGTTTTGTATCATAGCATTCATGTACACACAAATTTCCGGCTGAAAATGAGTATGAGAGTAAAAACTATCGTATGCATTGTATTTTTGATTTTAGTATTCGAGGAACTGTGGGAGAACTGAGGAAGAATTCGAATGCCACGGTCATCGGACGCCCCTCGGCGACAAACTGTGAACATGAATAAATAGTTGAAAAATATGAATATTTTATTGAAAATGAAGCTTATCATTGAATAAATGATGAATCTTTTTTTTTAGAAAATAATCCTCGTTGTACAAAGATAAATTTGAATGAAGACTTGTTGTTAGTGTTAATGGTATACTGCAATCATCAATTATACGTCGATTTTGTTTAATTTTTTGCGGGCACTGTTTTCTTTGTTGAAGATGAAAATTGGATATCTGATTGCTATTTGATAATAATGTTTTGTCCGTTTGAACATCCATCGGCTTTGTACATTCATTGCATAGTATTTCTTTTTTCTCATTTGAAGACTGTTGGAACAGATTATCACCTGAATAATAAAATAATACGAAATACTCATCATTCATGTATATTTTGAGGTAAAGTAATTAGAGACCAAAAATTATAAATTTGAACTGAAACTTTTTTTGTCTGATAATTTAAGCAGGCAGTATACCAGTGAGCAGGATAGCGAAAACTCTGATTACACCAGATGAAAATCTGTTCTAAATGTCAACTGATTCCAAACTGCGATTGATCGATGAAGTGGAATATCGGTACGTACGGGACTAGTCTAGAGAATTATCTGATTTAATAAATAGTCCTATTAATGATATATATTGTGCAATTAATATTAAGATATAATCATTCGTTCTGTGTCCATTTATTACGTAAGTTGAATGAATGCATAACCTTTGGCAAGATACAAATTGAGATTATCTTCTACCTAGAATACATCTAACAAACTGCTGAGCTCAGTATCATACAGATAACCTTTTCAAATTTTACTATAGTATCACGTGGATTTATATGCATCAGTGTAACATTCGAACTTCTCAACAAATGTATTTATCCTAAATTGATTTTCCACCTTCGAACCCCAATCATTTGTTTTCTCAAGTTTAATCAATGGTGTTCTCATACCCGATGGTATCGTTGAATAGAACGATGCTCGATTCTGTCTACATAACATTTCACGATTCATCAGCATTAACGGTTCATGTAAACGATGATGTACTTTATCAGTCAGTTGTTCAGATAAATTTATTGTTTTTTCCGATTGACTTAAATCTACATTGATCGTAGGTAAATCATTATTTAATGTGTCTGTTTGGCAATAAGACGATCGAATAGGCACAAAAACAATATTGGTGTCAATTGAACGACTATCTTGCGGTTTATATGTTGTTTGATTCATATTTTGATTTGATGATACACGATGAAGGTCTTTCCGTAATAGAGTGTTCTCTCTGCCCAAAAGCCTAATCGTCGCAAGAAATATATATACAATCATGATTATTCTCTGTCTCAGCCACCTCTCGATGACATCTCTTTCATATTCTCATAGATCTGTTTTCATTCAATATTCAATTAAACAAGGCAGCGCTGAAATAGTATAGATATAAAAGATACAATCTATAGGAAACATTTGACTTGTAAGGCTTTTTTTTTAATGACATCTATGTAATAGAAGCAAATTGACAGCACATGGCAACATTTTTTGCTAAGGATACATATATTTTTGCGACCACTGTTAATATTCTTATGTAATTCTATTGCTTAGATAAATATTTACCGATTATTTCTCGGTAATCGCCTATGACTTTCTCGATTACGTGCTTCATTTAGTCGCCAATGATATCTAGATGAATCAGAGTAGTTTCTTTTCTTAGATATTAATGAGGAATTGTTCATGGTTGATTTATTAATAGACACCATATCTACACGATTGCAAGTGTGATTATGACTTCTATTATATTGCATTTCTTGTTTTAAATAGATGAAAATTTGCCACAAAGATTTGAAGAATAGCTCATAAATAATTTGCATACACCATAATGAACTTTCATAGAGAGTAAAAAATGCATATGTTAAACAGTCATCATTATTCTCAAAACTAAAACTAAACAAAAAACAATTACTTGATTGTTTCTTTTTCTTTTTTCGAAAACACTAAACCTACGACGGTACAGATTTTAGTTGATTTTGATAAGCAATCGATTTATTTGAACAAGTACATGTTGAACACGAACATGTTTCTTTTAACATCATATGTTGAGTGGAAATGCTTGAAACATCTGTTAATGATGTCCCAGTTGAACGCAAGTGTCGACAGGATAGTTTAGATGATGATGTGAACAAACTATCGGTTATCATAATTTTTAATAATTATTACATTCGATAATTGGTCTAGAAAGTTTCATATGAGCGCTTTTTCCGATAAATAATTTATGTTCAAGAGATTATATCAAGAAGGCGCCGAACATTATTTCAGATTTATCCTCTCGTAGCGTGTATACAAAAGAGTGACATGATTAATGATCAAGCAAAATGGTGAATCAACGTGTCTTTGATCTACACATGATACTGTCCTTGTCAATAGATTGTCTTCAATCATATGACCTTCGGATTTTTTATCATTACATCAATGTGTGTTATTACATTCTCAAATAGCATCAGTACGATGAATTATTAATAAAATGTCAATAACTAAATCTGAACAGAGAATAATAAATAAAAGGAAACAATAACGAAAGAGAAAATTAAAAAATAATAGAAAATGTAAGTAAATAAACTGTTCGTCTGATTAGTCAATAATGTATAAAGAAGACAATTAGCTTCTTACATGGAATTAAACTTCAAAAGGATCAAGACATTGTCAGTGATGATACTCAATAGATAAAATTGATTTTTTATTGTTAGCATCAACTACGCATCTAAGAGTTGAATGTATATTACGAGTGATTAATTGCTTATTATCCTATGATTTACTAGAAGTAGATTATTCTAATTTTGGAAAAAAAAATAATCATTGCACGAAGATAGCTCTTACAATCCGTTATTACTTAGTCGTATGCTTATCTATTGTATTTATTCTTCCTATTGAACTTCCGAGATAATTACATTGAATTGATTATTTCGTTCTTGTTATATTATCAATATCCAAGCAGACAAACTTTTGGGAAAACGTGTTTACACCCTCAGTCGGGAACCACGATTATGAGTCGTTAACGAAACACCAGAAACGCGTTTTTTACGCAGAATTCTCACTCTCAGAGCCTGAAAACGGGTAAAAACTCCAATCCTCACCGTTTAAATGCTCACAATTGGAGTTTTTATTCGTTTTCACGCTCTAACAGTGAGAATTCTGCGCAAAAAACGCGTTTCTGGCGCTTCGTTAATGACTCACAATCGCGGTTCCCGACTGAGTGTTTAAACGCGTTTTTCCAAAAGTTTGTCTGCTTGGGTAAAGACACTTATAGGTTAGACGAATAAAGAAATCAACTAATAGAAAGTCTGTTGTTATTTTTGTTGCTGCTGCTAGTGTTGTTGTCGTTGTTGTCAACCTTCAGTGGTCTTATTGGCGTGCATAGAATAGAAGGGATAAGATGAATTTTTCTTCCCGGATGATTACTATTACATCGTTTATTTCTAACCGCTATTGGATGCATGAGAATGTCGGTACACATACGCTGATGTGTGTTGATGATATACGAGCATATGCGCATTGATAATTATCAAGTCTACAATATATTAGAAGAGAAAAAACAAAGGTCGTCTTTTACTATTCTCTATCGTCGAGGAAAAAAACAATTGTTTATAATGTTGTCAATAGTTCAATATAGACGATGAAGTTAACAACTGCTGAACGTGAAAAGAACGATACATTCATCATAATTCTTCTTATATAAGGTTGTTAATGTCATTTTTTTTCTTTACTTTAGATATAACAAACAATAAAATCAAATCTTGCAATGAATATTGAATAAAAGAAAAGGAAGGAAATAGAAAAAAAATCCGGTTTGACAAAAAAAAAAGAAAAGATAAAATAGGCTTGCTAAAGGTGATCTTATTTTGACACAAATAAGAGAAAAAAGAAAAAGATTTCCTTGTTTATACACGAAAAACAAATTGGACACTTCGATGTTAAGTAATGATTAATTTCAGTTATTCGTCGTGATGAGCACCAGCACCGGGTGGTGGAGCATAGTTTGGCTTATTGCTATTATAATAAGAAATATGAGAAATAAATAAACATAAAGCATTGAAAAAACTTACGTCATCTCAGAACCACTTTTGTTTCCTAAGTGTTCACCAGTATCCATACCTAAGGTACCTGCACCTTGACCGAAACCATAACCCTTTGGTCTAAAAACACGAATACAGAGATTTTATTTTCTAACGTTTTCTTTTTCTCTTGCAAATAAATACAAACCCAAATTTACGTCCGTAACACTGTTTGCAATATACATTGCCTTCATGTTCAGCCACGGTCATTGCTTCTAGCATCTTTTTACAAAGACCTTATTTTTTAGAAGAAAACAAGAATAATTTAAAAGAAAAACAACCTAAGAATTCTGTTTTAACATACCACATTTGAAGCACATTTTGTGCCATTTCTTTCCAGCGGCTGGAACTTCTTCAGCGGCATAGACACTTTGATTACATTTTGGACCTATGTGAAAAAAACAGAAATTCGTTATTTAGATAGATTTGAAATAGGCTGTAAAACTTACATTTTACTACCTCAGGTGGTTTGAATGGCATGACTATGTTGATTGAGACGTAAAAAGAAAAACAAAGAAAATCTAAAAGAAACTTATATTATGTACAACACCTGATTAGAATTTTAGTCACACTCATCATCATAAACAATATCATTTTTCATTTACAGAACAGAACAGTAGAGAAGAGAAAAAAAAACAGACAATAACACAAATAAAAGTAAATAAAGCAAGATCTGTACGCATATTTGTATTGGCATTTATTCAACATAAATCCAATCTATTCATGTTAATTAATAGCACCAGGTGGTAGAATACAGCTCAGTTTGTTTCTATTTAGAATTAGATTCTAATAAAAAGAAAAGAAATTGAACGACAATATTCTTACATCATCTCTCAGCGACATTCAATTGCCAAGGTATTTACCTGTGCCCATACCAAAATACAGTACTCTATCATTTGCAGCAACATATTCACTGTTCTATTTTAATATAATTTTTTTTTCGTCAGTAAAAAATCAATCTCAACTCAATCAATAGTTACTTACCAATCGCGGAGCATAGAATTGTTTATGAAATAAATTACCTTCATGCTCAGCAAGTGTTGTTATTGTCAGTACTTTTTTTGTGAAGACCTTTTGGTAAATAAAAGAAAATAGGTGATAATTGATTATCAACAAGAAATTAGCCTGGAAAAGGAAAAGAAAGCAATAGAACAAGGTCAACATCTTACCATATTTAAAACAAGCATTGTGCCAGTTTTATCCACTGTTGGCACACTTTGTCGGTGTTGTAGACAGGCTGATTACATGCTAAACAATAAGCCAATTGGATTAAGAATGGCATCTAAAAGAAACAGAACAAAAATAGATTTAAAAAGAAATTTCTAATAAAAATGAACAAAGATAATTGTCAACACTAGCTATATCTACCGTATTTCAAGCATGTTTATTAGCAGCTTGAATTCCTTCAACGGCATCAACATTTTCATAACATTTGATTAGTTCTAAATATCTGAACCGCATCTCACTAGCTATGAAAAATAAATAAATACTCGTTTTCCTAGTATCTTTTTTTCTGGTTGCATCAACTAACATAGGAAGAATAAGAAAGTCGACGAGTTGCTCGATGAAACTTCTCTGTAAAGAATATAAAAATAACATAGTTGTTGTTCTTGGTCTCTGTTTCCTCTCTATCTATCTATATGTCTCTATTCCGTATCTGCCGCAAAAAAACGATCAACATCGCATATAACTTCGCCGAGTAGAAAATGATTGTTTCCAGCATCAACCATCAAGCAAGATATTGTGTAAATATCTGCGGTAGTGAATGCACAAGGATGTGTGGTGTATATGTGCGAAAGAAACAGGAGAAAAAGATAGGATAGAACGAGCACGATAGCATCACCACCAAAATACAATTTCCCTTCTAAAAAAAGAGGAAAAAATAGAACATAGAAAATGCATCTGAGACGAATTGGTATCAATCTATCTATGTATATATATATATATATATATACGCGTAAGAATAAAGACAGAGAAAGAGAGAACAGCTATGGTGCAATGAAACTCTAACCCAAATGTTCCTCCCAAATTTAGCATACTAAGTTGATCTCACCACAGATATAACTTCTTTCTCTCTCTCTCTCTCTCTCTCTCTCTCTCTCGGTTCTTTTCTAGCCACCAATAACTTGTACTTCTTACATGATGCTGAATACTGTACACAACTTTCTTCCTCATTCAATTATACAGGCGATTCTTTTTCTCTTGTGTGTACCCCAGTCATTTTTCGCCAATGACATTCCTGTTATTAATCACGTCTCACAAAAGAATAGAACTATATGGGACACACATCGGTAGCAATACCGTTTTTTCTTTCTAACTATCGCATATCAATAAACGAACACATACACACATATATATATATATATATATATATATAACATGAAAAATGAAAAATGAAAGAAAGATAAGTAGCTAAAAAAAGATATACACTAAAACGGTATAACAATTATTTCTTATCCAATCACCAGTTGATCTATTATGTTATTGTGGCTATTCAACTCAGGTTCCACATCATTTCTTGAATTGTGTTAGTGTTGATGGAAGTAAAAGCCTTTAGGAAAGACAAACACAGCATAGATACGCATATTTCTATACATACAAGGAAAAGTTGCTGAGTATCATTAGCAGTATGCTGACGAAGATAGAACAAACGACAGATACTAGATCATTTTTGTTACAATCAATCATACTAAACATTTAGAGTACTTTTCTTGTTTTAAAGAATTTCATGTAGATGATTTATATATTGATGAAACATCATCTTTTGTTTTTCTTCCACTCTGGAAACTAGTTAAAATACAAGAAAGTTTAGTTTGTGTTATACGGACAAGTTCTGTAGAAATCGATCTCGATTGATTGATCAATAATTAGAAACATTTGTTTTTGTCATTCGCACTGTAACAATTCTGCAAATATCATTAATATCCGTTTTAGAGTTTTCACACGCAATGACAAACAATTTTTGTAATTATAATTGAAAAGAATGTTTCTCAAGCTATTTATTATTGAATCATGAGATGTTTCTTATTATTATTCCGAATAATTGTATTATAGCGACATATTTGGATACATTCTTGAAAATAAAATAAACACTAACACATAATTCTTTTATTTATTTTATTCGGAAAATATCGCAATGATTTTCAGGGGATCTCATCTAGTAGATGATGATGATGATGATGATGATGAATAATAACATTTGAATAAAAACTAAAACTTACGTAGTTGTTAGATCTAATCAAGGCAAGAAAAATAATTAAAACGACATTTATGCATAATTTATATTCATCGGTGTCTTGCTATAATTGATTTAAGAAATATCTTAATTTAGGATAAACTTTCTGATAAATATAAAAAGCGTCGTCAGCTGTACATTACAAAATAAGATATGATTTGATGAATTCGGTCGTCGTAAATCGACTAAATGAAAAGAAATAATAAATTAGGAAAGAAGGTCGCGTTGACTTATTTTAAGACGACTTCGTAGTTATCTGCATAGTTGTTTATTGGTTTGTTGGTTTCATTCAGTAAATATTTGTCTCCATGAGAATAAGCAAGTAATGTGAGAGAGTAAAAATCATAGACACGATTAAAATTACATTATGTCACTCAATTAATAACATCACCATTGAACTACAGGCACATGACTTATGTCGGTGCTAGTGAGTCTGGCATTTTTCAAAATAGACGAATAATAGTAAAACTAATCTTCCAGTTTTAACTTCTAATTTTGTAATTATCAAAAACAAAAAAGTTTTAACGACAATAGTTTACAGCAAAAATGTTGAACCGCTTTATCTATTTCTGCTCTGAAATGAGTGCACCGCATGTACAAGTATATACAAAGAATGTACAATATGTGCTTTTTTGTGGCTCTCTGAGGATTGGAGCAACTGAAGTATCTGATAATTTCGTCATTACTATTCAAAATGAATTTTTATCACAGTTACTCAAGGAGATTGTAGTACTATATTTAGCAAAAAAATATCGTACAGTCTTATATGACCGTAGTCAAAACTTGTAGTCTTACAATCTTCGTTAAATATATATTATCAATTATTGAGGATTTAGATGATGCATATACCACGAATTTCAACAGCGATTGATCACATAGGAACTTTTCTCATTCTCATCAATTAGTCTCATCCTAATTACAAAAAGAAAAGGATTTTCTTAGAAAACCAAATAAATCCTATAGTGTCTGAAATCTTTTTTCAGGAAGTGTTTACATATTTTCAAACTTATCTTGATTTTATAGTGAAGCCTGAGTATTAAAGCTCATATTTGATTTTCTTAAAATGAATTCGTTTTATAGTTATTTACATGAAGTTCACACATGGACTTTAAAGAAACATAAATGATCATTGACAGAATTCATCACTATCTATAACATTAACACATGCACAATTTCAAAATGATTTTAATTAGATGCAAGTGTAGTTTCAACTAAAATGTGTTCATGTTTTTTTAAACGTTATAGAAACAGAATAATCCATAAGAATGAACTCTGCTAGATACACATATTGCGTCATAGAAATCAATTCAGTTCATTCCTAGTATTTCTTTTAAGCAAAACAATAAAAAGACAGATGGACTTATATTTTTCGATCCGACAAACGATTCATCAAATTTTATAAGAATAAATCGTTATATTTTCTTAGAAGAGGTATAGCTCGATTGAATAATCATTCTCGTCAATTTTACATTCCTCCCAATCTCGTAATGTAACTCTCGGCTGACGATAACGTACGACACCCACTTATACTTCTGTCATTTATTAGTCAATTTATCAACAATAATAAACTATATCTTGTTATTTGTTTTTTTTATTAAGTAACTTCTATGATGATATATTCAAGCTAATTCATTATATTGTGATATGTCTATGCAAGAAAATAGTAATATTTGATTTTCAGTTGTTGATTTTCTGTAGATGAAATTGTTTTTAAAGATCTGTTCCACTACTGTAAGAAATCATAGGTTTATTCTAATCTTATGGAATGTGAAAAATAATGAAACTTCTTCTAATATAAATCAATGTTGGAGATTCTCATAGTGAAATAGTTTCTAAAAAAACTTTGAGAATTTATGAAGTTGTTTTAATTAAATGACTTTATCAAGTTAACGATGCTTAGCGACATCAATTCAATCAATCGTTTGTTTTGTTTTCAGAGTGGCTGATATCTAGACATGTCACGATCAAATAATACGTCAATGGCGATGACGATTATATCCTTCAGTTTCTATTTTTACCAAGGAAAATCATGTTTACCTCAAAGAAAGATTTTGCTTTATTAGCTCGACAAGTTCAACTATCGTCTCGAGAAGTTGCAGCAGCTGCTGCTACGACTACTGCAACCGAAACTTCTACTCCATTTCTTGTTGATGTTTATCAAGTACGATTATGGAAATTACTTACTAAACCAGACAAAGCTGATGTAGAAGCTATTGGACAAACATTTAAAGTATATAGTCAAAATTAAATTCAAATTTAGAAGAATTTTTCAATTCTAGTGTAATCCACAAGAATTACTACATACGATTGTTGCTCTTTACGATAATTCACTGTCAGATATTGGCGGGTATATTAGCCATCTTCATTATCATTGAATAAATTCTTTTCATATCAATGAGTTTATTTCTCTAGTGAAACAATTTATAGTACAATTTGTTCGCCAAAAGTTGTTACGATACTTGTTGTATTCGGTAAATTTATTATTTAATTGTTTTAAAATTCATCGTCGAAATTTTCTCTAGATAATCCACATGTTGTATTAAAAGAACCAACTATTACTCCTATAGTTATTAAAGAAGATGACTGTCTTGATACATTACTTGAAAATGTTGAATATCCAGATAGTGTTTTTAAGGACGTTTTCTCTGATTCATCATCTAGTGAAAGTTCAGATGAGTAAGTTTTAAATAGAAATTAAATTTTTATTTCAACTATAGTATCGTAGTGATGACGATGATAGCGGATCAGACGATAATGAACATGATTATTCTGTTGGTGTTGGTAAATTTCTAGAAAAAGTTGCAGCTGATAAAATTAATTTTAATAAACGTCTTATTGGTTGCCTTAGTTTTCAAAAAATTACAACGTTTCCAATAACGTAGGATTCTAGAAATTATTTTCCAATTCAATCTTTTCTTTTGTTCTTTCTTAGAAGTCAAGAAGAGCATGTCCTAGATCTTCAATTAATGGCTTGTCGAAAAAAATATCGTGGTCACGGAATCGGTCGACATTTATTAAAAGTAAAAATATTCATTCTACTTTATTTTTTGGTTGAATTCAAATTATTTGTTTTATTAGTTAATAATGAACAATGAGTTCGTTGGAGAATACGATGCTATTGTAACTGCATCTGATCAAAGTGCTATCGATTTTTATAGAAAATTTGGCTTTACAGAAGATGCTATTATATTAAGCAAATACAAGTAGACAATATTAAATTTTGTTCGATCGAAAATGAATACGTTCATTCGTTTAGGGCTATTGGTGATTGTTGGACAAATACAACAAAAATGTGTTATTTACCACCTTATAATGGTAAAAAATGGATTCATACTGTGAAAATCATAGTCTGTAATAATTTAGTGGAGTTATAGTTTTAAGCAGAGAATTGCTTAAATTTTAGTCTAATATATTATTCTATTTAACATGAACTATAAGCTAGAGCAGCATAGTTTTTTGAATATTGTGGTTGGTTTCTGTCGACATCTCTTAGAAGAGTTACGTCATTGAAATGATCTATCAGCCGTGGCGATATTTTACTGAATGCACGATTGCCTATTAATATCGAGAGATTGTCGATGTTAACTAATTGAACTAGTGTATAGTGTGACTGCTAGAACTACCATTGATCTGATTTTGCAATAATTTAGCATATCTGGAATCTCAGGTTTTTCCATAATGAAGAAAGTCAGGTGATGAGTTTTGTTGGGTTTTCTTGTATCTGACATGAATGAAAAACACCAAAAGTCCTATAGAAAAAAGTGTAGATGATTGATTCGATGGATCAATACAATTCGATTTGTTATTATTTACCCACGCAAATCTGATTCAGTTGAAAGACTTCAATATAAATATTAATAAGAATATTTAGTTTTTCAGTTGTTAATGAGGATCCTATTCGGTGTTTAACCATTATGGATGATCAATTTCAAAAATGGTACTATTATTATTATTTGTATATTTCATTCGATAATTCATTTGTTATTCTCAGGCAAAAAACGATGTTTAGCAGTTATCAAAATCAAGCAGCGTTATTTAATCGACTAAAAAATGAAATGATTGGTTTGTATGCTAAAGTAAATAATTAATTTTCTGTGATAAACATTAAAGAAAAATTTATGTCAAGATAAATACGCAAGACCAAATAATTGTTTCATTGAATCGTACACGTTTTTTACTAGCTAAAGAAAATGCATCGCTTAGTGAGTTTCATTAAAATGCCAAAAAGAAAGGAAATTTTTTCTAAATCGTTTTATCAAATTTATTTAGAGTTAAAATTATCTGGATCAAAATCATCTGGCGATGAAAATAATGAAGGTAACTGGAAGATTTAGTTAGAAATAATTCAATCTATTATATTTCATTGATTAAGACATTGAAGAACTTGAAACTCATCAGATGGTGCAAGAAATGGAAAAAATGTCGATAACAAATGAAAAATTGTTAATTGCTCAAATGTCTTTATTAGTGGGCGATGATTGTAATACACCGATGGCAATTGAATTTTGTAGACATAAACTTAGAAATCCTGGCGAATATGAAATTAAAGCAAAAAAGGTATTTATTTTGAATTATTTTTTTCTTGCATAGACAAAAAATCACCTAAGAACTTTTGCTTGGTAAGATGCGTCTCTTATTTTCAACAAGTAGCTATCACAACGAGCACGCGCCATGCTACAAAGAAGATAGTGAGGAGATAGAGTAGCAACACTTTTCATTGCCCTTCCGAGAATACGAGCAGAGCTAGTGTTCTACTTCTGTTGTTAGCTATTCGAATGTGAAGTAGGGTGGTAGTTGCTATTAGTAATTATGAGAAATTCAAAACAAATATTCGATTCGTTCCGAAAATAGAAATATATTTTCGTTGAGATAATTGTTTAAAATAAGAAATAGTATGGTTTCTTTCATAGATCACCATTGACTTAGCTACAATCGCTTTATATAAAAGTGGACTGGCTTCATTGCATCATGGTAGCCCAAAAAGTGAAACATTACTTTTTTACTTCGGTCATCATGATCATCTTGAAATAATCGTTACTGCTGGTTTTACTAATGAAGGTATTAAGTTAAGGAATAGTTATTAGTACGCTTTTGAAATGTATAATTTCTTTTTTGCTTTTAGATTTTCTCTATGGTTCATTTGGTAAAGGTCTCTATTTTCATTCGACTCTAAGAAATCTACAAATACAAGTAAATTGTTTTTAGTTGTCGTATCTGTATTTATCTTGTCTTAAATTTCAGAAACCTCAGAAATTTCTTCTTTGTAAAGTTGCATTAGGCCGCACTGAGCTGGTATCTAAACAAAAATCAAAATCAACGATTACGCTCAAAAGAAATATCGAATACGATTCTGTTAAAGTTCGTTTTCATTTATTTTTTATTAATTTTGTTCTATTTACTTATTTTAGATTTTCGATATGGACACGAGAGATGACGGTGACGATGACGATGAATTAGTGATTTTTGATTCTCATCTTGCTCTGCCATTATTTATTATAACACTCGAATAAGAATAAGAGAAAAAGGAAAGCTGATGCAATTTTAGTTGATCTCATTTTTTTTCATTAAATAAAGTCGTATTGGATTTTCTATTGATAATTGAATTGAATTGAAATCTGTTGTTTCATCATCATTATGTCTGTTCGAATATTTTATATAGACACCAATTAATTTTTTACGAAATGTTGCTAGAAGATCTTGATATGTTTTTTCGCCTTCTTGTATTCTAAATGTTTGACAAGCAGAAAGGGTTTCAATAAAATCGATAAATTGACCTATGGATGTTTCAATGGTTTGTTCGATTGTATATTCAACAAGACTAGATTTGTAGGGTAGCAAGGGCAAAAGCGATTGATAATATGAAGCACCTAACCATCGTTTATTGTTCCAATAAGAAAATAAGATTTTCTCATCGAATTCTCGATAAATAGTATCAGCCATCGGATTATCTAATTGACCCATTCCATACGTCCAAATGGCAAATACGCCAATATTAGGTTTAAGTACACGTTTAACTTCTTCCACAAATACTTCAATATTAAGCCAATGTAGTGATGTAGCAGCAGTAATTAAATCAACTGAGTTTGATTCAAGAAATGATAAATCTTCTGCTGAATGACATCGGTATTCGACATTATCCTTCTGAATTCCGTGAGCAATTTGATTAGCACTAACATCAATACCAATTACACGATCGCAGTATCTAAAATACAGACTCATATTTTTGAAAATATATATTGATAAAGAAAACAGCAATAATATTTACAAGCTAAGTCCAATTGATGCTTGTCCGCTGCCACATCCTATATCAATCGCGAGCGGAATTTTTTCATTTGTTTGACTACCATCAACATAATAATTAAAAATACGCTCAAATAATTGCTTTGGGTACCCAGGTCGATGCAGACGATATTTAAGGGTATGATTTTCTCCTTCAAATAGTCGGCAGCTCATACTACTTTTTCTTTATTATATCTATAAAAATGGTCTCCTTGCATTTGCTTGTCGAATATGATTTCTTATCTTCTCTTTTCTTTTCTTTTTTAATCGGTTCTTACCATGTGCCAGTGACTACTGCATGAGATTTGTCAATTAAATCCTTGTTTCTGTTTTGATTGCACAGATAGAAATAAAATAAAAAATCATGCATATTTTTGTACTCTACCTATACTACGATCCTTTCTATCTTGCTGATAAAAGTATGACTCTTCTTTTCTAAATGCGTATGACTATACTTCGGATTGAATGGCAAATGTCAATATGGACATTTTTTTCTTCCTAATATTTTGAAAAATACTAAGTACATTTCCATGATAAAGCTGCTACAGACAGCAATAAAAGTATATTTATTCATCTTAGTCTCACATAGAGATTATTTTCGTATCTATGTTTCTCTACAACATACTAAACCTTTTTCATTTTTCTCTTTTTGCAATTGTGGATGTGCATGATTTGAATGATGGTGAGACTTATAGTTACGTTCCTTCTTCTTCTTCATCTATTAAAGAAAAAGAAGAAAACAATTCAAACAGCTCAATGAGCCTATTCAGCGACATTGAAAATCGGGTTTGGTGGAAAAGGCCGAAAGGGAAAACGTCGAAAAAAAAGGAAAATGCAGAAATTCTAAACGTCGAAAGAAAAAATTAGAAAAAAGGAAACGTTGAAAGTTAAATGTCGAAAATTGCGTTTTTTAATAATTTTAACGAAAAATAAAAATTTATTCGATCACATGATAAAATACAATGAAAAAAAAGAAAACTAAGTTTATCAGTATTATTTTCTTTTTTTTGTGTGACCCAAGTAGTAATGCTAATCCCTTCAATGATTGCTTTGCATTGATTACCAAATCAAAAGAAAAAATTTTCGTTATCTATAGACATCGTTTTCACTCTACGTTTTCCTTTTCAAAATTCTTCTACTTTTTTCTCTGGCAGTTTTTCTTCGACACTGTTATTAATTATACTTTTTCCATTTGACGTTTTCCTCTTCGACGTTTTTACCTTCTGCAATTTCCAGTTTCGACGTTTTCCTTTTTTTTCGACATTTTCCTTTTCGGCGTTTTTCCTTTCTGCTTTTCCCGCCAATTCCTGAAAATCTATCGCGTAAAGGATATTCATGACGTTTCCTATATCCACTGATTGAAATATATGATCGTTCATTATTTATTCGTTAAATAAATATTCCAAGACTAATAAAATCTCTGCGATCGCCGAAAACAAACAAACTAAGAAAATAGTCCCATTTACAGGAACATCCATGATAAATATACAAATGTATAGTGTTTGTTCATAATTATCAATTTTCCTATTAGGCTCATCAAGATCATTTCTAATTTTAACCGTGTAACTACAACTTGATAGGTAGTAAACTGCATAATAATCATCACAAATGATCAAATGGTTCTCGGCGTACATCGCCAACTGAATCAACAACATTATAATTTTGATGTTCTGGAGAAAACGAGCGAATACTCATGAATGTAATGCTATTGCAATCATAGACGAGGGCGACTTTGTACAAAATTTTAGCTGCGTGGCTTTAAAAATATTGTGATCTATATTACTGAAATGACCCGAACAAACAGTATCCTTGAGAGAAACATGACACAAGTCACAACGATAAACCATTATTGTTGTCTTACATTGAGTGACTGAATGTTTTCCAACAGCTGCACAGATACCTTGGATTTAGGAAAAAGCATAAAGAATGTAATCAATAATTATTTTCAGCTCTGATATTCTTATGTTGTAACAGAAACTATTTGCAGTCTTGATACGAAGTTGTTGATAAAATGAGATGTCGAAAATACTCTTAGAGTGATACTGAAAGAGATAGATTAAGTTAACAAAAACGTTCCCTTAATTATTTCAATATTAGAATATTGGATGCTTCAAGATTTTCTAACCTGAAAGTCTCGAATCATTTATGTGCTAGAAATTGTGTTAACAATAAATGAAGGGTGCCAGTTATGCACATAGATAATGCTATATACTCCATAAAATGTATGGTAAACATTGCAGAGTATACTCTAATTGATTCACGGCATTCTGGAAAAACATGCCCTGATTTCTCCATATCCAAGACAGACGGGCGTTTCAGACAGTGTATATTACTCAGTCTGGATACATAGATACGTGATGTTGTCAGTATAATTTAAACAACTATAGTTTTATTACTGAAGCTTAAAATTTTCGTATGTTTGTACTGAAACCTTTTCAATTTCCTACAAAGAAAGCGGTCGGGGGGGGGGGGGGGGGG